TCTACTACTAACATGGTAGCCACTTCTCTTGAATCCCAAGGTACATTTTTCAAAAGGGTTCTTTACTGGTGAAACACTAGAGTAGTTGGTCACATTTGGAAGAACTAAAGAGGATAGGATGCTTGGTGTTGGATAGAGTTTTACGACGACAGTTTCTGTTTTGTTCAGTTTGGGGTATGGCACTTTTGCGACATGGTACGAGGGTTTCTACATGCAACACTAGTTGGCAGGGGAGTATTGTGAACTGGTATTCGGAGGATCAAATTTACGATGTATGAAATTGTGCACCCTCAGGAAATTACTGCTTGCTTATCGAGACAACAATTGTTGTCGATATTGCAGGCTGCAAACCGTTGTATCGATAACTTATTCATTGGATTCATTAAGCAAGTGGACAGGAAGATCTGTCTTTAACAGTTGTGCAGAATTGTTATTCTTGGGACTCTAACCAAAGACTCATGTTCTCGAAGTGCATGACGTTTTGTATGCTTAGGCGAGACTCACTCTCATTTTCCAGTTTTGGTTTTCCGTATAAGTATTTTAACTTCATTTACATTAGTTATTTGTTTTTGGCGTTACAAATGTTTTGGGGGAAGTATTTCGGTTTTTAGTTTTAAGTTCAGCACGAGTTTTCGAACTATATGTTAGTACATATCTATTTTTGACGCTATAGTATTTTGCGTATTTATTTTTGACCTTACGTCAATATATGTTTTCGACTTTATATCTTATTAAAGTATGTTTTCTACTTTTACACTAATGGGGAAGAAACTAAAAGCTTGGAGGCATGATAGAGGATTTTGCAACCCGCTCGCAACGGTGTGGCATATTCTCTTTGATGCATCCACTCTGACTTGATTTCTCTTTATACATGTATTCGTCTTACTATTTTCGAGTATTTCAGTTTAGTAAGTGATTTAAATTTTGGGGACGAAATTCTTTTAAGGGGGTTAGATTGTTACACCCACCCCTAATTTAAATTGTATTTCACTAAGTTTGAGATTATCTTGCTTTTAAAATTGTTTTTGGGTCTTAATTAGTGTGCCCAAAGGGCCCACCCCTTGATTTTGTCCCCCGTGACCCCTTCTTCTTTCTTCTCTCCTTCTCTGCACACTCCATTCTCTCTCTTGAAACCCATTCATCTATCTCCCTCTCTATCGCCGTGAGCACCCACACACACACACACCCACCACCACAACTACCTAGCTACGACACCACCATCACCTTTGGAACTTTCTTCTCTCTTTTCCCCGTCTCGGCGAAGCTCCGGGACACCCAAAGAACACCCAAGTCTCCCACGACGCCTCCGACGACTTTCGAGACAATTGCCAGCTAAACCAAAGTGAGTTGGCCGGCATGCAAGTATCAATCTCTTCGTCTCGCTGAGTACTACAACTTCCCTTTTTGTTTCACCCAATTTCGTTGAGTATTGAAGAAGTTATATCCATTTGAATCTTACCCAGTTTCCAGCGAGTCCGACGGCTTTCGAGGCATTTTCCGGTCAAATACATCGTACAAGGTACCATTCTTTTCCTCTCTTCGAGGGCTACAATTTCCATTTTTGAATCACTCGATTTCGTTGAGTATTGACAAAGTTATAGACGTTTAAAGTTTGTCTAGATTTCCGGCCTAAATCCGGCCTTCTCTTTCAATTGGGTCCGGCAACCCATGTTCTGAGCTCAGGCCGGGCTTTCAAGCCCAAATCCTTTTGAACCAGGCCCTTTGGGCCGTGCCAAACCTAGGGCCTTAGGCCCGTTATCCTTTTAAACCCAACCAAAATCCTTTAATCTATTTTTATTTATTTATTTAGTTTTATAAAAACCCAAAAGAACTGGGCTGGGCCTTTAAGCCCAAGCCCCTTTTTGTGCAGCCTAGGGCCTTTGGCCCATTGCCCCAAAACCCATCAGATATGGCCTTTGGGCCTTGGACCCCTTTTATTTATTTTTGTATTTTATTTGTTTGAAATTAAACCCTTTAACATTTTAAAACCCTTAACCTAATCCTCTAACCTATTAACCCAAAACCCTTTTTACATTAGAAAACCCTTAACCCATAAACCATTATCCTAAGCCCAACCTACCTAAACCTAAACCCTAAACCCCTAAGTCCAGACCCTAAACCCTAGCCGGCCCAAAACCCTTTATAGGGAATATTCCGTTAGGGAGTATTCTATTGGCGTTTATGAAATTTAACCGGGACCCTTCTTTGGGTAATTCAATGTTCTAAATCCGTTTCCAACGTCTGTTTTCCCAAATTCAATTGTTATAATAGAATTTTATTAATTAGGCCATTTATGTAGGGGCAATATTTGTGGCGTTTCTATCTTCGCTAGTTGCGTGGCTTTTCGGCAGCTAAGTATTGTGAGTGGACCCTTTCTAAAAATGCATGTTTTAATAGTAGAAATGCATACATGAAAAGCATGATTTGATGATTACGTTTTATGAAACGTTTTGTGAGATAACATGCTTACTGAGGCTAGTTTGAATTATTACTATTTTTCATATAACCCATGTTCTTATAGAATATCCGATGGATGACGATATGATATTTAGAACATGTTTCGAACACTTCTTTATAGTATAGATGGTGGATGACTTTATACTATGAAGTTGTTTTTCAATATATATATGTTCAATGGTTTTGTACTTACCTAGTGGTCCTTTCCGTTACAGGACGTAGGGATAAATTCTGGTCCGTCCCGGGCGACGGTTTGGTGTTGGCATAGGGCCTGGAGTGTGTTTCCTCTAGCTATTTAACACAGGGACGGGGAGCCGGCATGGGGCCTGAAGTGTATTTTCCTCTGACTGTCTGCTCAGAGACGGAAAGCCGGCATGGTACCTGGGGGTTATCGGACAATTCACTAGTGATTATTATATATAAAAGTTATGATTTGAGATATTGCACGACATGCTAGGTTTCGGAAAACCTATGTTTATCATGATATATATGTTTTTTCATAAAACCTAAGGGTTAGTATGTTAATAACTGTTTTATTATATCTATATCAACTTGGTCCACTCATGTTTGTTTTGCGCCCCCTTCAGGACTTAGAATCGAGGCATACAATCTCGGCATCCAGAAACTTCCGCATCGGCATCTTCGAGTCCTCTCGGTGCAAGACCCATCCTTTGTTTCATTAAATTTTATATTATTTCTTTCGGTGTTCTAGTTAGTCGTATGCTCTGAACACGTACTTTAAATGCATATTCTTGATTATTTTATATTTATAAGTCTTATCTATTCCTTAATCTCAGCATTTGCACTCAACAAATGGCTTTCGTCATCCTCGGGTATCGGCCAGCACGTGTCTATTCTGGTATTCGGGGAATATCAGGATCGGGCCGTGTCACCAAGAGTTCCAGGATCTTGATGACAACCATGTTGGTTTGGACATCAACTCCTTTACGTCTAATGCTTCGAGCACCACTGGGTATTGAAGTGGCGGACTTGATCAAGATTTCAACAAGTTGAAGCTCAACAATGGAATTAACTATCAAGTGTTGATTGATTTTATAGGCTCGAGAATTAACGTGACCATGGCTCGTGCTGGCGTGGCAAAAACAACCAAATCGAATTCCTCCATTTCAAATACAACCAAATCAAAGTTCAAATCAAAGTCAAAAAATGAAGCATTCATCGGAACAAAGTTGCCGAACACAAGTTCAAAGAAGTTTAATGGCAGAAACTGGTGAAAAAAGTGTCTAAAAAAAAACAAAAACATAAAACTGTTTCTGAAGAATCCAAAACATAACATTGTTTCTAAAAAAAAAAAAAAAAAAAAAAAAAAAGTAGATACAGTGTTTGTTTTGTCTGGCACAAATAAACACTATATCTGGAAAGAAAAGAATCAAAATCCAGAAACAGTGACTTAAATTACAGAAACAGTGACTTAATTTCATAAACAATGACTTAGATTCCAGAAACAGTCTATGTTTTAACCTTTGACTGTTTCGTTTCTTTCATGCATCAGTTGATTATATTTAAGAAACAAGGTGCTTAATTTGCTTTGAATCCAAATACATTGAATTTCACTATTTCTTTTCTAGTTTACATTTAAGAAACAATGTGTCTATTTCATTTGGATCCAGAAACAGTGATTTAGATTCAAGAAGTAAAGTAACTTGGGTTCCAGAAACAGTGACTTAGATTCCAGAAACATTGTTACTTAAAATCCAGAGAGTTTATTTTTACAATCCAAAAATAGTGACCCATCGTTATTATTGAACAGCATGCAGATCTCAAATTTATTTTCTAGAGAAACAAACGATGAACTCTACTGATGAAGAAAATTTGAAAAACAGTATCTCGAATACATTATGAATAATAACGATGATCACATTTCAACGAAATAATACAAAATATAGCATGAGGATCTATATTTTTGTTTCAAAGAAAAAGAAGGTCTGCAAAACAATGATGAACTCCATTAACAACGAAAATCTGGAACTCAACCTAAAAAAATTAGGAGTAAAATCGACAAATCATAATTTATTATAATTGGGTCATTTTTAGTTGAACTACTTTAATATGAGCCTTGTATTAATCATTAAACAAAACTTATAACATGGTTTTTTTATTAAAACTAAAACTTTTCAATCATTTTTCATTAGTTTTCAGTTCTTGGCTGGGCGTAATTTGATCTTCAAGATCGCCACTATTGCAAGAAGCGGAAAATCAGACCAAACATAAAGTATACAAGTCTTGTCTTGACGTGAATAGTTGACAAACCTAGCAATTACAAAACCATTTGATGTTCTTTTTAACATGTTCTGGGTGTTGCACCTAGTAAAAATAAGACATGCCAAGGACAATTCCAGTGCCCATGTGAGTGATTGTTGTAATTGACCTATGTGCATAAATGATTTCAAAATGTATTAACGGCAAGCTGTCTACTTCTCTCTTCCATCTTATTGCTTGTGTGAGAAGTTAAATTTTTAAAATGCAGTTAGTTCATGAGACTAGAACTTGTGACTTAATCCCGATAAATTAGAGACTGAGTGTTACTTAACCAAATGGTCATGTGCATATATTCGTGAGTTCGAATAGGTAGAACCACATTATATTTTGGACCCAAGTTGTACCCAGCTAACCGAAACATTGTTAAAACAAATTCCCTGCTTGCATTGTCTACTTGTATTCAATTCGATAAAGCAGTACATTTTAAACGCTTAAACGCCACTTAAGGTCTAAGTTACAGCTTGTTCTTGGTAAATAGCAATGCCGAGGCATTCACAACCAGAAAATTAGAGTTGCAAACACCAGCATCCGTCGTGCCATCACGAGTATAACTTATTTAAAAGTTCCAAGAGAAGAACTGCTGCCGAGTCCTTGGCCTTCTTAACACTGGGCATAGGCTCCCCGACACATTCGTCTGTCCATCCCCTGTCCGAGGTATTCACACGTACCGCAAATGTGAACTTCTTTGCATGTGCAGGGCCACCCTCATTCACACACCTAAACATGCAAACATATCAAACGTTTTGAAACAGTCAAAAACCAAATAAATTTAAAACGTAGTACGAGCTAGAAATTTTTATCTCGAATCCCTACAAAACTATGACTTCCAAACTTATGTTTAATTCCACGTACTTCCTCTCTAGTGATAGTAAGTGTTAATGATGTGTTCAAAATTTCTTACCGGTAAAACGGCATGGGCCAATTTTTCCGCAAGCATATGTCATTCAAAGTTTGTCGAGTAAATGTTTGGCTACCATTCTTCTTCTTCTTCCCATTCTCCTCCTTCTCTTTTGCTTCAGCTGTTTCCTTGTCTTTCAAAACAGCAAGTGCATTCCTAGCAGCCAGTTTCTGTGCCATCTTCTTTTGCGGATTCTGAGCAATTGCCATCTGGATGCCATCAATGAAGACTTCGACTGTAGCCACATTTCCACTTCGAGTGGCTTTGTATTCCAAGCCTTCAGCCAGTTGCTGGCATCTTTCTTGCAGCTCACGCACCGGATGCATTGGCAGTGTCTCTGGAGTAACCATTGGTTGCAGCAGAGGTTGAAAGACCTATGACCACAGAGATGGAAAGACCAGAAATTCATGGATTAGTTTCCCAAACTCATCACCAAAAGAACATTGAAAAGTGAAAATGCAGATTAGCTAGTGCCTTGACAGAGATCTACCTTCCAAACAGCTCCGGTATCACGTCCACTGTCAAGAAAAACGGCACCAGCAATAGATTCAAAAATGTCACCCAGAACCTTTGGAGCTTTGCAATCTCCCAAACCAAAGGAGTTGAACCCTGGCTTTGATAATTCATTTCCGACTTCCTTCACAAAGTCATGAATCTGTAAACAGAATCCAAAAACACTAAATTAGGATCTAGGCTGTGTGCTCGCAGCTAACCTGCCTAATCCATAAACAAGATAAGATAACCATCAGCTCACCATTCAAGTATGAGAATCCAAAGTTTTAAGTGTAAGAAAGAGACTTGAGTACCTGTTTTTCAAGGGCAGTCGACCCATGCCGAAGGTGCACATGGAGATAATGTTTCACAGCAACACGTGCAAAGTTTTCATTGTTAACAGCAGCAGCTCGCAGATCAGTCAACCTGCCCGGAGGTAGATTTGTGTACGTGAAGAACAAGTGCCTGGTAATGAGATGATCTAAGACGGCATCACCAACAAACTCCAGCCGCTGATAGCAGGATACTCCAGCAGATGGTCGAGAAGCATGACTAATGGCTTCTACCAAAAAGCCCCTATCACTAAATTTAAAATTCAGAGCACCTTCTAAGGCATCAAAGTTGACACTCCTAAGTACACTCTCTGGAACGCTAGATGGCTTTGGTATGCACTCTAGCCCATCGGGGTCAAGCTCTATCTCAATTCCAATCCACTTCATGAGATGGTTAGCAGCATTTTTCCCACCTTCAACATAATAAACTCCAATAAGTGCTTCGACAACATCTGCAAGTGTCTTGCTAGAGAGGACTCTATAAGAACTCGAGTCACCTTCAAGCTCCCCATCCTCCAGCTCATCATCCTCATATATATCACCAGGGCGATCCATTTGCCCTACAGGGTTTTCCTCCTCGTCAAACAAGGACGATTCTCCATCGTTCGTATACTCATCAAAGACGGGTAACACCCCAGGTGCAGCCCACCGAGATGGAGAAAAGCGATCTGATTGGATATATGACTGAAGTCCTTTTTTCAATGCATACTGGTATAAAACCATGTTGCTAACCATTTGTTGCCTCATCCTAGTAAGCTGACCCTCGTGTTTCTGAGGGTATTTAAGAAAGAGAAATCGACTAACAACCCATTTCAGGTAAGCATCACCCAGAAGCTCTGCTCTTTCATAGCAAAATGTCTCCTGGCATGAAGCGGCTGTCAGGGCTTCTAGGATCTGTAGATAGCAGGCAACACACATTAATCAAGTAGTTAATAGCCACTTAGAATAAGCACTTGAGATGATAAAATACCTTTGAAGCAGGGACAGAATAGTTTATCATATCTTTGAGTTCAACTGCAAGCAGCATGCTTTCAACCCTTCTCATTATTGAGGGTAGTCTCTGGGCACCACGGACAAGTGATCCGGGCAATGGGTGTACTAAACAAAGCTCGGGAGGGAGGAAAACATAGTACGTTTTGTCAAGAGTTTCTTCAGATTCACCATCTTGTTCTGCATAAAATCTCCATTAGCTCAAAAAAAAAAAAAAAGGTGAAATGTAAATTAATTTAAGGGTAAAGATTAGAGCATACCTTCCGTGTGTTCAAATCGCGGAGACAGGAGATTCTTGCAATATGAGACACCCCGTCCTCTTATTAAAGGTTGTTGCTTATAGACCAACTCAACTCCATACCTATATAAAGAAGATCAAAGAGCCAAATGCACCCTTCACTGTGCAAGAAGAAAGAAGAAAGCTTCTCCAATCTGTAAGGATTCGCAACTATTGGCACTGGAAAATTTATTGGAACATTTCATTGATGAATCAAAATTTTCCACCCGACAATAGTTAACTACTTCCTTCCAGATTAAAACTAGGTGGTGTTTGGTCTGTGACATGAATAAAATTTTCATTACCCCGACAAGTGCAAATGAAAATGTTTCCATTCACTTTCTAACATTTCTAAAAACAAAATGCTACTCAGGAACCAAGCACCACCATAGCTTTCCTCTTCTTCAAGCACATAATCTCAGGGGCATTGTAGCCGTCCATTAAGAATTGACTAGTTCTAGGTTTAGGAGAATAAATCTAGAAAGGCATAATAAAATAACTAAAAAAACATCAGAATCTAGAATGGAAAAGTGTATCATACTTTTGCTTGTAATAATCAGCATATGAGCTGTACTCCACAGGGCCAAGGTAGCCTTCTTTCCGGGGGAAAGAGTTTTCTGCCGTCATATCATAGCATATTGAATCCACATAAAACCTCTTCCCTGAGTGAGCAGCTGTCACAATCCTCCCGACCAAGCCTTCGACACTGACACATGTAGGATCAGCCATAAATAACTTGTCTTTGGGCAAATCTACCGGCCTTCTAATATCTAGGGCATCCCGATCAGGCATCAATCCGGAAGCTTTAACAACATCAAACTGTGCCACAGCTCCTCTGATACCATAGGTTGGATGGGATTTTTGTCCAAAAGCCATGCCATGACGTAATTTCGCGAAACCATACTCCCTTCTGTCTCCACCTAGAGTACGCTCACTTGTGCCAAGGGAAACATCAGGTCGAGCTCTTTGAAGGGGATTATTCCAAGCCTCTGCACCATTTATATTTTCAACCAGATCCCAATCTATTTCTTTCATAGGATCCACACACTTATCGCTAACCACAGGGACAAATAAATAAGCCTTTGCAGGATCCCAAGGAGTGGTGGAAGGTTTGACATCCACGTCCAATACAATACTCATCAATCTTACATGAAAACTTTTAAGGGACGCCAACTGTACACAAGAAATTGAAAATTTGTTTAAAAATCTGTAGCTGAAAATCTAAACAGTAAAACCGTTTTAAAATTTATCACATTCGAGTAGGGTAAGAATTATCAACCTGACTTTCAGTAATATATATTGAACCCCTGAAGACAAGGGATGCCTTTGTAGTCATGGTTCGAGCGATAAATAGATCCATCGACATCGATAACACCTATTAACAGAAAACCAGTTAGCAAAGAACAGGGAATGAAAAATAGATGTCATCACGCCAAAATGGAAATAACGTACCTCTGCATCCAGTTCATTTCCTACTAGAACTGCGAAATCTGAAACTTGATTCAAGAAAGGATCTTTTGAAGAGCCAGAGTTTACACATTTCACGCCATACATGTAAACATGAATCAATTCCGAGTCACGGCCCAAATCTCTTCCAGATAAGATCCATTCTCCCTGAATGCCAGAGAGTAAACAATGAGTACCGTAACACATATACATAAAAAGCAGGAACCTTAACCAAAGATCAGCAGAGATAAGCTAAAGCATATGACATGCAGGATGAACTTACCTTGAGAATATTAGCTACACCTTCGGGATAGAACTCTCTGTGCCTAGCAGTTCCAGGAAGTGGATCTCCATCATCATTCTGGTCAACCTGTTCTTTTTCTTCCCCGCTTCCCTTGTCTGGCAAGAGCATGTCGGTAAATGCTCCCATCTCATGGAGTTTCTTGCAAGCAGCCAAGCAAACAGCCTGCACGATAAGGAAAAGATAAGCCCAAATCCTTGGATGATGTGAAGCAAAGGTATCATGATCGTAAAAAACAAAAGCATGCCTGCTGTGCAAGGTGCATAGAACTGGACACGGGACCCTCAAGTGTCTCAAATTGTGCGTTACAAGGGAGTTGAAGTTTGCATGAATATTCAGTGTGACCTCCTTGCTTCTCATGCCTCACCATAACAAACTCAGGACGAAGAATTGAGTACCTGAACAACAAATTTAAAGCAAAATCAGTAACATGGACCTACTTATAGATGTCGTGGCAAAAACATTACTCTGATGAAAGAAGAACCTGTCGCTGGGAAGCTGAGAGCAGTAGAAATGGATGAGTCCAACAGCAGAGTTTAAGCTCACAACAGCACCGGTTGACTCCACCTGGTACACTGTCCCTGGCGTTGTATCCACTGAAATTAGCCTATCACTATCCTTCAGATGACTCAGGTCAGTTCTCTCTATTGCTTCCTTCCGTAAAGTCTCCTCGCTATTCCTGGCATTCCTTAAGAATGCTTCATGCGCCAGATTTCCTCTACAGGGCACCCAAAAGAAGAAGAGAAGGTTTGATGTCAGTTATCCTATGAAAGATAATGAACTGATCAAAGTACAATGTGACAAATTTCACACAAAGAAACAAATGAGTTTTAAGTAATATTAGCCATTGTTATATGAAAAATCAGTGGTGACCATTACTGATATTAATGGTAATATGGAGCCCAAGCAACTAAGTACCTCTCCACCATTAAGATGTAATCAGACCCAGGTTTTCTAGCACGACCCCTGGACTGAATGTAAGCCAAAACAGTTTTTGCAAGGTCAAACCGAATAACAACATTGCACTGCCGGATATCAAGTCCTTCCTCAGCAACACTAGTCGCAACTAACAGTGTCACCTGCGAAGAAGTAAAAGAAAGTTTTAGATCGGAGAAGATTGAATCATGAAGACCGCCTTCCATTCAATTTAGTACAAAAACATGGTATTTATACATACACGGCCATCCTTGAATTTGGCAATAGTGTCCTGCATTTGGCAACTTCTCATTTCCTGACTATTGTTGTGGCCGATAAGGCTAGCACACTCTATAAAACCTAAAGAAGGAAGTTCTGCGAAGACCTGCATGTTTGGAAGAACACTATTGGGTGAGGAAATTGAAACAAGAAATGATAAAAAAAGACAAATAATATCTATGCATTCTTTAATTCGAAAAGAACAATATCTAATAACAAATACTACCTTGGGAAGAACTAAAGCAGACACAACTCGCTCCACAAAGATGATTGCACGAAAATCTTCTGTATGCTGATACTTGAGAAGTACTTTCACCAGTGACTGCACTTTTGGAGTCACCTTCCCATCAGCTACAGCAGCTCCCATTATCACATCTACATGCTCCCCGCCAGAGACAACTACACAGCACAGAGAGATAACTTTAGATGAAATGTCGATCAAATGAACTCATTAACTCGGGGAATGAATGATGAAGAGCATGGTCGAAAAAGTAAACAACCCGACTAACCATGACTATCAGGTAGCTCTCCTTCCTCCATCTCATCAGGGTCATTTCCATCACAAGAAACGCCATTTTCTGAATCTGCTACTTTTGTTTCCTTGTCCGAAACAGCTCCCTCTGATAGCTGACATTGTAAGAGATTTACAACTTTGCTCAGGTAGGATTCCTGAAACTTGACATCAAGCTGGTAGTTTGCCCTCTCGTCATTTTGTAAGGCTGTCAAGAAAGATTGTGCAACCTGGGAAAGAAACCGTGTGAGCAATAGTTTCATAAATGATTATATAACTGACTTAGGCAGAAATATTATTAAATTGTACCTTGTAAGCACACCATTGACCCAGTTCACCGAGCGCATAATTAATAGCCCTCAACTTTTGAATTAGGTTAACAGCCCCATCACTTTCTGTTCTTTCAGAAACACCATACACTTGGCGCAGCTCTTCCTTGGCCCCAGCATCTCTGGCTCCCATAAATTGCCATTTACTTTTTCTAGAGCTGAACTTTGCAGCTTCTTCAACTTCCGTTTCCATCTTTTTTAGCTGCTCATGAAGGGACCATAAGCTAGCTCCTTTATCATACTGCACCACTGTTTCGGAAGGCATTGGAACATGCTTTTCAAGCTCCTTACGGTCCTTTATGGTACAAACAATGGAATCTAGTTTACTTTCAAGATTACGAATCTTTATTGCACAATCTATTTGGCTGGAAACACCTGGATGAAACATAATCATAAGAATCGTCAATATATTTTGATTTAAAACGTCGCCTTGAAAGTATTAAGAGTTGAATTTAAGACACACGATCTTGAGTAATTTCATAACTCGACAAAAGAAAATACCTTTTAAATTAACAGGAGAAGCAGTCATCCCAAATACAGACGGTCTCTTCTCCTTTGGGGTTGTATGATAGAACTCAGACATCACTAAAGAATACGGATGTTTCTTCACAGCGTGATGACACTCATCCAGAATCAAGAGATTGATTGCTTCCATTTTTATAATGCTGTGCCTCAGAATGTTCAACAGAATTTGAGCTGTCATTACCAGAACCTGCAGGGGAAAATGTCAAATTGTAATCAAGGAACCGAGGACCCAGCAGGAACCATCCTAAGCTACAGGATTGACAGGAGTGGAGTAACCTATCAACCTTCTATTCTTGATACAGTAATGTATTGCTATCGGACGCAAAACCTTTTAGCTTAAACCCCCATAGGATTTTTCAAGGGAGCGGAGCATTCAGTTTTAGAAATTAATTCTACACTTTAGGGTTTGTTATTCTTCTGGACAAATTCTTGCTCTTCTCCCTTTTCGTTTTAGATTTCTTGCTCTTCTCCTTTCTCGATTTCATTTCCTTGTATTTTCAAACTTAAGTTTGTTAATGTACACTGCCAGTGTACTTTTTGGACTCTCTCACTTTTCCCCTATAATACTATCACTCAAATGCTAATGTGCACTAGAAAACATTAGAGGGACAACCATGCGGACGGAAATTAGATGACGCACGCCAACACCAAGCACAGGTCACAACAAACAAATATACATTATAAACGCATAAGAGAAGTAGAACAAGTAATAGCAAGTGAAATGATACCCAAAGTTTTACTGAAATATATCATTAGAAAATAACAGCATTTAGAACATAAGACGAGTAACAAAATATACAGGATATGTTCTAACAACTAAAACGGTAAGACCTACCTGTTTCGTGTCGAATTCATGCTGCCATCTTCGGGTGTCCCAGAAATCTTGGCCCATCTCACCACAATAATGGCCCACTTGGAAACCAGTTCGCTCACGAATAACTTCAGCTTGCTGAATATGAACAAGACAAAAACATACCATAAACTCAAAAAGTGCAAATTACAACGGATGGACACCACATAAAGTACTTCTAAGCAGAAAACGAGCACTTCAACTTACACACGCATTACCTGATAAACAAGGGGAACTTTAGGAACGAGAAATACAGCGAGCATCTTTTTGTTCTGCTTTTGCTGCATATCACTGCAAACACTTTGCATGAGAAGCACGGCAATGAGTGTCTTTCCGGCACCTGTTTCAAGAAAAGCTATTGTATTTCTCTTCTTTGCTTGTTCAAGCACATCCAATTGATACTTCCTAGCTTGTTCCTCAGGAATTTTTTCTTTAACCTCCTCCGGTTTCTTCTCAGCCTTCCCATTGAATTGCTGGTTTTTCATATCAGCTATCCTACCCTCTTTGTTATGATCAGGTTCATAAGTCCCTAATCGAAAAACAAGCTCATTCGTTCCCAACTTATCCCTCTCCCAATAACCCTTTGCCTCCCTGTCTCTACCACCCTCCCTCCTATTGTAAGTACCATAATTCTCTCTTCTCCTAATCCGATCTCTATCTCTATCTCTATCCGTCCGATCAATATCCTCGGAATCACGAGGCCTCTTCCTACCAAAACTCTTGTCCCTCATGTTATATTGCCCTCTGCCTGAACCATACCTCCTTCCGTTATCCAAAGCAACCCTCTTGGAGAACCTCTCTTCACCATCCATATCTCTCTCCCTCACAACCCCATTACCCCTCCTCTTTTCAAACCTTTGATAACCATTCCGATCACCCTTACTCTCTCCATTATCAGCCTCCAAACTCCTCCCTCCACTCCGAACATTGTGTCCAACCGAGTCATCAGCATTCTCCCTATTCACAACCACCGGCGGCTCAATCTTATCACAACCCTCAACAACAGCAATGCCAGTACCACCGTTGGCATTCACATCTGAATTCGGACCAGTCGCACCAGGGAGGCCAGCACCGCTCTTGATACTGTCAAGAATGTGATCAATCCCCCCGAAAAAATCGCCCACCAACCCATCCTCCTCCTGGTTGCAGCCATTGCCATTGGCCACCGCCGCCACCAGAGGAGGACCACAAACTGGAGGTTCACAGAACTCCACGAAATCACCAATCACATCACACGGTATGTCCTCACAAGCATCCAGCCAGTACGAAGGCCGAACCGCCTCCTCACTGGGAGCACCATTCCCAGTGTCCCCAGAAACCCTAGCCTCCTCCATTGCTAAACCCCAGTATATATTTCAGACTATATCTATATAAATAATATGTATAACAACCTAGATACTAAAATATTGTATAAAATCTAAAATTCAGCTGAATCCAATCAAACAACAACAACAACAACAATTAAATCGAAATCGAAATCGAAAGGCGAAGATTGTTAGAGGGAGAGAGTAAGAGAGGAGTGGATAGACCGTTCGGATACGCAGAATGAATGAACGATTGAAGAAACAATGGCGGTCTTTTATGAAGAAACCCTAATTAAAGACCATAACTTTTCTTCCTTTTTTTTGTGGGGATTTTTTTTCTTCTTTTCTGAGATTCCCACGGTCTATCTACGCCTATTCTGCTCTCTATCTCTCTTCTTCTTCTTCTTTGACCGGACCCTCACGCTTCCCCCGTGCTCTCTCACTCTTGATTCCTTTGCTCTCTCTCTCTGCTTTCAGATTTTTAGAGAGAGAGTGAGAGAGGAGGGCAAAATTCAGACACTTTCCCTATATGTACTTTTGATATTCCTTTTCTACCCTTTTTTGCAACATCGGGAAATTCTCTTTTTCCACTCTGGAGATTTTTTCGTTCTTCCTAATAAACACTATCATGTGGTTTTATCATTCTACGTCGGATAATATCATGTGGTGTGATAAGATAAAAGAGGCTTGGAAATGGAAAATCATTCTTTATTTTTTTTCCATGTTTGATAAATTACTGCAAGTGGTCTAATATCTTAGTGGATTGCATACTGAAATGCCATTCATGAGCCATAAGTTTGAAACTTCCCTAACCCCTTTAAATATTGTAATAGCTCCAAATCCTTCTAATAATATGTAATAAATTAGGGTCGGAAAAAATTAATAAATATGTAATAAATGTCGTGAAATGAGGTAGGTATAACAACCCTTGACAGATGGAGGATTTGCATTTTTCTCATTTTTTTTCCACCATTTATTGCAAACCTCTACAAAATTTATTGCAGATGCAGCTTTACTAGTGGCAGAAAGTAATCATGCATTTACATCTAATGCGGTTCGATCTCTCCCAAATTTCTTCTTTTCTGACATATAACTATCTTAAACCATTAATGTTATCGCTCTACTAAATATATGTAATATATTAAATTACTAATTATCAAACATGGTAAATTTAAAAGTTACTTTTATCATATTGTTCTTCACATGCCAAATTCACTCTTCAAATGTACTTCTAAGACAACAAAAACACATGTTATGGTCTGAAACAATAACGTTATATGATAGTGTTCCGAAGAGTGAGTTCCTACGCGTCAATCAGCCCCGCCACTTGGGTGTTCAACGTTGTTCTGATTCATTGGCGATCTTAGCCTTTTGAACGTGGCGAATTGTTGGACAGCAACATTCGGATTTCAGACAACCTACTTTCCCACTGGATTTGCACTTAACCACTCGGCTGTTGAGTGGACTGTGGAATCATACCCGTGACCTAGGGGAGTTCGGATCTCCTGTACCAATTTTCCACTGCCAACCCTATGACAACACTAAGTTGGTGACATCTGTCCCTTCTCTTTAACTCGCATGCAGAAAGTAAAATTAAAAAACCAACAAAATTCAAATAGAAAACCAGAAAACCCCAGGCCAACGAAGGCCTCGGGCCTCGGGCCACCTTACTCCTCCTTGCCGCCGGCAAAACATCATTGTCATCATCTTTTGCTTTCGCCGCGCCAAAGATCGACGGATCGAGCGAATTGGGCGTTCATGGTGACGGCAGCGACCGCGATGGGGTTTTGGTTGGGCCTTGAAGAATAAGTAATTACTGGTTTTGGGGTGGTGGCACTCATTTGGTGTAGGTGGTCGTGCGCAGGGCTGGCCCAGGCCCAGTGCAGGCAGGGCGATCGTCAAAGGCCCAAAAAAATTAGGGGCACCAAAATTATTAGGGCGGTATATTTATATATATTTTTATAAGAGTATAAATTTATAAAATTTGGTTCAAAGACATAGAAATTTAACTAGAAGTGGTGGTTTGTCATTTGAAAATAATGAGGAGGTCTTGGGTACAAAACACCATGTGTGCTTATTTACTTTCCATTTTTTACAAATTTCTTTTTATAAGAGTATAAATTTATAAAATTTGGTTAAAAGATCAAGAAGTTTAATTAGAAACAATGATTTTTGTTGTTTAAAATTAACAAGAGGTCCTAAGTTCGAAATGCTATGTGCATGTTTATTTTTTACAAATTTTTGTTTGGTTGTTAATTTATTTTTAGTTACTATCTAGTAGCTATGTGAGTTGTTATTTTTAAATATTCGTTTTAATTCAAGTCTAATCTTCAACAAAGAATAATATGTAAAAAATTTGCAAATTATAGACGTCATCAAATGTTTAATTAGTGCCCATTCATTAATAAAAATATCAATTAAAGACTCGAAACATCATTATTTTTGTCCCATATTGACAAGGTTAGTAAATAAGAAAAAAAACATCTCACGATTTATTCAAAAACACATTCAAAGTTCAGATGAAAAACAAAACTCATCATCTATCTACTTGTAAGCCCGAAGTTTTTTTGTTTCCCTCTCTCAATACAAAATAAATTAGTCTTTCTGTGTTTCTAAATTATTGAGTTTGAAGTGTTTTTCTAAGTATAATTTTTTCGATGTCTTATGTGTGAAAATAAATAATTTTCTTACATGAAGTCAGGGCACTTTTTTTTTACGTCGCCCCGGGCCTCAAAAATCTCTAGACCGGCCCTGGTCGTGCGAATGAGTATTGTGGCAAAGGCGGAGTGGCCAAGGCCATTGAGAAGGTTCAAATGCTAAAAAATCTTCAAAAATTGATCGCTAATTCATGAGTGGGTTATATAATTTTATGAATGTTACGGACTATTATATGGCCAAAAAGAGCATCAGGTTTTTTTTTTTTTTTTTTTTTATAACAAATCATAGATTTTGTTAGGTTTTTTTTTAAGAGGTCGCACTTGGTGCGATGGCAAGTGCCTTCGCCCATGAGCGGTAGGTCTCGGGTTCAAGACTTGGGAGCAGCCTCTCCATAAATGGGGGTAAGGCTAGCCGACATTCACCTCTCCTAGACCCTGCGTAAAGCGGGAGCCTTGTGCACTGGGTACGATAGATTTTGTTAGGTTAGTCACCGACAGGATTTGAACTCACGCCTTCATGCAATGACTCAACACATTTCCACCATTATGGTATAAGACCACTTGTCATCAGGTTGGTTAAATGTAGCCTCACTTTTAGTATTTTTGGGATCAGCTCTTCACTTGCAATAATTAATTTAATTTAACGACTAGATTTGAAAACATATAATTGTAGTTTAATTAAATTAAGCAATAAATTTGGAGTATAACTTTAAAACTAGTAAATTATTAATGGAGTTATGTTTGACCCCTTTGGTTGGAGTATTGGAGATGATATATGAGTATGTGGTATATGAATATGAACTAACACGGTTCATTCAAAAGTAATTTGTTTTAGGGCTATAATTTTGGACTAGGATATATGTAACCTTTCGGTTGAAAATGGTCTAACGGAAATGGGTGGGTGGGGGAGCTTTGTTGGGTTGGGGTATTTTATTTTTTATTTGAGTTTTTACTTTTATTTTTTATTTTACAAAGGATAGAGAGTTAAGTTGTAGTGAAGTCAGCACTCAGTACTACGATCTAGTGATATTCATTTTCATTTGAAGGTGAGATGTCTTATATTCGATTTTCGTCTTTGAACCTCATTATTATGAGCCTATTGTGAGGCTAAGCATGCTCCCTCTCTTTGTAAAGATAATAACGTTTTTTTGTTTAAAAAAAAAAAAAAATTGTAGTGAAGTCGTGGGACACTTGTAACAACCACAGTGCGGAGAGACGCTGGATAGAGGGGATTTTGGGAACAGGAGATCCGGACCCTATCCATGGGATGGTGAAGCCACCGCAATGCTCCTCACGAAGTCAACCATGACGGGGCTTCCTGACCGTTGGATCCGAGACAGTGGACGAGATGGGAATAATTCGCGAGATCGGGTTGAATATTTTTATTCCATCAGATTTTGTGTTGTGGGGCCCCGAAATGAGACTGGTCAGGTACAGATGATGCATTGGTTGTGGTCTTCCAGAATATCTGGTCCCCATCTTTTGCGACCTTGTTGTGATTCCATATATTAATTAACTTTAATGTTGTGGACTCAAATGCTGGGCATTAAAATACAAAGAATGTTGTGGACTAGTTTTTTTTTATTTTTTTATTTTTGGTGGGTGGACTAGTTATTCTTTAGGAATAAGAATTGTCTGTCCTCCCACTTCTGGTGTCCTCCTGCTTTGTGTGGTCACGGTTAAGTTACGTCAACATTTTATATTGTTTTTTTATAGAAATAATAAGACAAAAATAAATAGTAATATAAAATGTTGACGTGACTTAACCGTGACCACACAAACAAGAGGGCACGGGAGGGCACCGGAAGTGAGATGGCAGACAATCCTTGTCCATTCTTTAGCCAATGTTCGATATGGACGACTAGATTGATTAGGCTAAACTAATTAAGGACTCGTTTGATATCTATTTTCGTTTTTAATTTTTAGTTTTTTAGTTTTAAATTTTTAGAACAAAAAAAATAATTTTTTTTTGTTTTTAATTTTTAGAAAAAAAATTGAAAACGAAATAGTTATTAAACGACTCATAACTAGCTTTTGTGTGCAGTCAAAGGGAAAAAATGTAAATTGTCTTCTATGGCTAGTTTGGGATTCTTTGTACTTTTTTTTTTTTCAAAACTGCTTCTGTTGTTCTGTGAGAATAAACAGCTGTGAAAAAAACAGGTAAGTGTTTGGTAACATATAGTGCTAAAAGGGCTTTTACCAAAAAAAGGAGACTGAGGTAGAATTGTCAATATGAAAGTTTCATTAAATTATACTATTCACCCACCTCCTATAAAAAATGTGTTTTTTATAAGCATGCTTACAGCTGCTTATGCATTCTGTGCATTCTGTTGTTTTATACCCATGATTTTGAAGAAGGAAAAAAACAATTTTTTTTATCTGCAAACATAATTTTATCCCCCAACTTTTTTAAAATGCTGCTTTCTAAAAAATTTAAGCAACCACAAACAACCCTTAGTGAAAGGACATGAAAGTTGCCTTGTAGCAAAGAAAATTATATCCTCAATAGTGCCACGAGTATGATCTATTCCTTATGGTTCTTGGTACACTCTACACAACGCATTCTCCATTCACCCAATTCACATGATTTACCAACAAAAAAAAAGCCCTCTATTCACATGGGCCGGCTTATAGCTATGTGGACTGGGCCCAAAAATATTTCTTTTAAGACTTGAACTACGTCCTAAGCCCTTTTCTTAGTGTTTTGGTAAATGGGCCTAATATGAAAACAAAATTGATCACACACATATTACCAATTTTTCTCTAGTGCACCTGCGGATTCGTATACATTTGAATGGGAACCGTTGGATCAAATCTTGATTGTCAGTAGAAAAATGAAAGGTTGAGTTACAGCCGGGGTTTTGATTTGA